TCACATAAACACTCATGCTCTTCTCAGAGCATCTACAAGTGTCCTGAGAAGGAACGGAAACATTACAAAGACTTAAAAAGCTTAAATATTTCCACTTTTTAAAAAATATATTGTGCCGGCCTTGAATGCAAACATGGATTTATTCAGAAAAAAAACTTGTCATATCTTAAATTCTTACAATCTACAATTGAATGAGTCGAAGTGAATGTAAAAAATATATATTTTTCCGCTTATTTTCTACGTTTCGACCGCAAAACAGTCTTTTTATTTGGAGGTTGCGGCCACCTAAATCACAGACTTAATACAGAAGTGGACCAGTTAACCGGGTATGTTGCATATTTCATGATCTAACTCAGCCCCCCCCCCCCTTTAAAGCTCTCAGAGTCCAGATCCAACTCCAGGAACTCCACAAAAACTCTGACAAATGACATCAGATGGGCGGGTTTTACTCAGAATCCTGATTCCAGCTTTGGTTTGCATGGATGAAACCACTTTTTTAGGGTCTATTTGAGGTGAAAGCTGCAGGATTAAAGCATTTTAATGCATCAACTCCTTTGTTTTCTGGAGGAGAATCGGCTCTGGGGTTTGGTATCTGGTCCGGATCAAAGCCTCTGAGAGCAGCTGGATTTAAAGCAGAGTTTAGGTTGTTAAGCCAACATTTTTTTCTGCGTTTCGCCTGTTTTTGTTTCATTTTGAGCGCAGAAGTTTCATCTCTAAGCGATTCGTTCCCAGTAAACTGGACTGAAAATGGCTTTCTTTGGCCTTCTGGCTCTAAATGAGCTCTGAGGAAGCAGCAAAACGATGATCGAGCTGAAAACAAGAAAACCGAAAACCTTTTTTTTTTTCTGCCAGCTCCATCTTTACCTGCGTCTGGTCCTCGTGGTGCGTTCAGGGACGGCTCCTCTCTCTGCCCTGGTTGCTCCCGGACCTGCTGGGCTCGGAGTGGATGTGGATTCCTCTCCAAAAAAAAAGGGAAAGTTCCTGTAATCCTGAGCGACACTCCGCCTGCCGAGCAGGTGAGGGGGAGCCGCAATACAGTAGAGAGGAGGTCTGGATTTCTTTTTTTTTTTTTTTTTTAACCACATGGGAAACTGCTCAATGTTGCATGAGGGTCTCGGGTTTCCCTGATACATAAAACAGCCCCGGAGACGGGGCCTTGCATCATCTGAGCTGGAGTTATTCAACGATGTATAATGCAGCAAGGTGAAGGCAATACAGAGTTACACACACTAAAAACCCGGCTAGTTTAAGCTAGCTTTAAACCAAAACGACCCGGTGGGCTGGGACAGATGTGCTTCCGAGTTCGTCCAAGTTAGGAGAACTCAAGAGAAAAGCCCCACAAATCAGACAGAAAAATCAAACAGTGGCTTTTCCAGGCTGAGAAAATAAATACAGCAGCTTTAAAATGTGCACCAGTACCCAAAGCCCATTAAAAAGTGGCTTTAAATGGAAGAAAAGTGACACAAACATGATAAAAGTATGAAATAATAACATTACTGGAGGCTGGTTTATGAATAAATAAGATAAAAATGGCAAAACAGAGGATTTCTTTTCATACGTATAAGCACTTAAAATAAAAAATGATACATTTTGCTGCATTTAGATGATAAAAAAAGACTAATTAGATGTATGAAATGATCTGTGAACTAGCTTAATGGGTCTTTTTTGCGGGTATTTTCCATTTCAGGTGCATAAATCTGCATCATGTGAACTTGAACCTGAACAAATAAAGAAAGAAAAGCAAAGAAATGAAGGAAAAGGCGGCAAAAACTGATGGAAAATGCAGCATAAACAGAAAACGTAATGCAAAACTTGTTTGTTTTGAGTCGTATTTCATCATTTATGCAGAATTTATTGAACCTTCTTTGTGTTAATTCGTAACCACGTTTGTTTTCACACAATTTCAGATGTTTTTTCTTTTTGTGGAACCAACCTGTGAAACTAAAGACTAAAAATGACGTATTTTATTCAGTATTTTTGGCTCTTTTGATGAAATTTAAGAAACTTGTTTGTGTTTTGGATGCTTTAATAACGAAATCTGACTCCTTTTTTGGTGACTTTAGTTATAAAAACTTGTACCGTCAGCCATGTTTTGTGCTTCATTGGAAAAAAAAGCAGCAGGTAAACAAAAACGTTTCTAATAAAAAACACAAGAGAAAGAAAGCGAAAAATCCTTGAAATACAATGAGAATTTATTTAAACGGTGCAAAAAAAATGAATTCGAATCATAACCCAACATAAAGTCTGATGTTCTTTCTATCCGGATTGCACTGTCACACAGCCTCTGCTCCCAAAAGGAAAACAAAACAAACGCTAAAAATAATCAAAATAAAAAGTAAAAATGACCAGGAAATAAACCGAGTTGAAATAATGCACGAGTTTGGTTACATGTGGAGCCATTTACATGCAACAGGTCCAGTCCAGAGTCCCGTTTCTCTTCCCGTTCGGAGCAAACCGGGAAGCAAACCGGATTTTTCCGGCTTTCGGAAAAAAGCCGAACGGG